TGTTACTCTGGCTCTTTTGATTCTCCACTGACATTCCTAGTTGTGGCTAAATCCTCTAATTTTCTGAAAAGAAAAGGTTAACCACAACATCTTCATGTCTTGAAAAATTCACGTCCCGCCCCCCATGTGGTCTGACTTGGCTTGTCAAAGCTCAAGTTACTGTTTCCTGGTTTGGCTCTTTGTGTACTCGAGCATTAATGAATGCATTACACTGAAAAAAAGAGGACTGTAATATCAGTGTGTACTTTTAGGGCTTTTAAAAGAGAGAAAACATCGTGTGTGTGTTTTTTTGAGAGGATGAGGCTTAATTGTTCAGTAGAATACATTTGATAATGGTTTATGTTAGCTGTTATACTTTAATATATCCAAATCTGGATCTGAACGACTTCATACCCTTCTTTTCATATTTTAAAGTCATTAAAGCAGGAGAATTTTCTTTGGTTTGCCAACGTGACTGAGAGAAGGAAGAGGCTGTTAGAGTCTAACCTCATGAGTTTGGTAAACGTTTGCACAGATCTTCATGTTCCTCATCAATATAATAAACATACTGAATATATAACATAACATACTGTGCTATAAACTCTCTATGGACCTTCAGTGTTTATAAAGAGCAGACAGCTCAAGGTACCAAGCAACCAAAGCTGATATCAACAGTTTTAATTGTATCCTGCAGCCATAACCAGACTGGATGGAGCGCTTTTTTTTTTCACATGCAAAGAAGAGAAGGACACATTTGCATTGATGTTATTCAGCTTTATAGCGCATGTAAATTTGGAGATATCCCTCCTGTCCCTCTTAAAGTCCTAATAATAGTTTAAAATACTTTTCCTAATAATAATACCTTTATTTATACAGCACAATTAACAACACTTCTTCTCCCTCCTCTAACATTTTTTACAGATTTGAGGCTATGCTGTGTGCCTGACTAGCTTAGTTATCATGTGTAAGTAAACATGACTCCATTTAGAAATGCAAACAGAAGTGAAAAGCTGCAGTCGAGTGTAAAGTGCCCAAAGGTTGAGAGCAAAGGCCCGAGAAGAGGGCCGGTCACAAGGGGTGGTGTCAGGGTTATGATCAGAAAATAGTTTTTATGGGTGTGACTTTATTGTTTCATTGTTTCCCAAGTGAGGAAGTCGTGATTTATGTGGTTCCTGGAATGAAACTCACCAAGTTAATCCTTAATATGACAGGTACAAGAGATGAGCATGGAAGCCGTGTTGTCAATTTCATCCAGTTTTAAGTCTTCATCACATTTTAACAGAGATTTTATTGAAGGAAGTTCTAAACTTTTTTTCTAAACGATTACTATATGTTGGACTGAAGCATACCGGCCTATGCAAACAGTCTGTGTACACTTGGGGCTGAGGGAGGTCTCTTGTAGTATGTAGGCTAAAGGTAAAGATGTAACAGGGGACTGATTGATTGCACTAAAACACACACAGCCATCCTCACATTTGACAACAATTTGCAGCTGGATTGAACTCCACATGTTGGCTTGTTTCTGCAAATAATCCCCAAGTGGGGGTCCAGATATAAACACTGCCCTGAAGTGACTTTTCCCAGATGACACTCACAGGATTTTTCTGAGTATAGCTGGCATTTCACTCGTGCTGCTTCTTGTTTCCACAGTGGGGATTTGGCCGTGCAGAGTGAGTTCTGGTTGGTCTCCTCGTTGGCAACGTGGCTCCTTTAAGAGCCCATCCCACCACATGAGAAGTGTGTGTATACATTCTGTACCTAAACAGTCCTCTCATGGACTTGACGACCCTCATAACAAGGGAACCCATTGGTTCAGAAGTGTAGGCGGGACCAAGAGTGTCTGTAGCCATGCTGAACACGCTGGAGTGACTGCCTCCACAAACACAGACCTTTTCTTTTCTCGAGCTCTTTCATGTCCGGCTCTTGTCCCTCTTCATCATGCAGGGGGGGAATACTGGCTCTCCCAAAAAGAAAATTGTTTTCTCGTCTTACTCAGACTGCCTCCGTCAACCAGAAGTACTGCAATTTAAAAGAAGCCTGCAGCACTTTGATTATATAAAAGAGGAGCAGGCAGAAATCCCTCTTACGAAGCCCTGTGTCGGTTCTGGTTTTTTTTCATCTTTGGAAGCTTAAGTGAAAATTCCTCAGCTTTAGCCTCAAGGTTTTAACTTAGAGTCTTACAATGACCTAAGTCCCCTCTTAATTTTGCAAACGCAAATACCTTCAAATATGAACCCTAAATCACCACGGTAAAGAATTGCTGTATCTACTTTTAAGATCTCCCTGTGGGAAAGAAAGGGTTCAAACTGTCTTCATGCATGATGATTTTTATGCGTTAAGCCACAGCGTGCAGTTTCAGAGCGGTTGCGCAGCTCTTAATAGTACTGTCTGTTTGCGCTGTGTAGAGTTATAGCTCTCAGCCCACGGTATCGTTGTGGTAGACCAATTTGCCCAGAGTCACACTGCCCACCTCTGCTGGTAACTTGTTGTCTTGACCTGAGCAATTATTTCAATCGAACCAGCACTCCCCAAGGTTATTTACTTAACAGTAAGTTTGAAGTATATCAAGTGTTTTTTTAAGCATCTTTCAGCTCTTTGTTTTGGTTTTACAGTCTGCAATTTAACTGTTTTGGTTTATTCCCACTGCTCTGAAAGTATCAACAGTGAAAAAGATCTTATATAAACCTACCGTGCACTTGAAGCAGACGGACAAAGATGGCGACTATTTGCTTAATATATTGAAGGATTTAGCCGCCATACGTTTTCTCTCTGGGGTTAAAAAGAGAACAAACCTGATCTAACACCTACATTTCCAGAAGTAAGGATTGAAATGAATTATACTTTGGAGATGTCGGGTGTGAAGTTACAAAAAGTAAGTCTTCTTGGTGCCAGATAGCTTCTGCTACTCCCAAGTTTTCACAACAGTCTCTAGTAAGATTTACAGATATATTTGTTCCTCACTCTCTCTTTGATGCAGTGAAACATGTGCTGTAATGTCCAAAGACTTGAAGCAATTGAAGTGTCCTTGGTTCGCTCTCATTCTGGTTTACGAGTTTAAGTCGAAAAGGGACTTAACGTTCAATCCTTGCAAAAAAAACGTAGTGTCCCGTCAGTGTTTAAGATGAAGATGTTTTATTTCTACTTGTTCTGTTAGCCTATGATAAACGCAGGAAATTTGGAAGTGTTATCTACCCTTGGTAAGGTCAAGTCTTCTGTTGCCATAATAACAGAGGGAACGTATCAGGCGTGTATCACTGTGCCAAAGGATTGGTGTGAATCACAGGACCAAAGTCTAAACATGAATCATCCTGACATGATAGCTGATGGAGAGATGAGAAAGATTTGTATTGCTCTAAATTTAATATGAAATACCTGCTGAAACGTACATCTCTGCTGCTGTTTCTCATTCATAAAGTTCTCCTTCAAGTCTACACACTTAGTTTGGGAAGTAATAACACATATTGGTTGTATTGTATTGTAGCTGGAGGCTGCTTTCCCTCCTGTCTGAGACGAGGAAATAGACAGCAGCGACATAGCTCCGCTCTGCTTTATTAACTTCTTGGTATGAGGAAAAGCTGCTCTGATCTCATGGGCTCTGCTGACATTAAGCTACAAGTGAAGTCTGTAATAACAGGAACAAGAACACAGACAATGACAGGTTTAAGACCTGGGTCTGACCTGGACCTCTTCCAAGAAGCAGGTTTATTAAGTTATCTGGATAACTCTGCTGAGTAAAAACCTGGAGCCTCCTCTTGACAAGACCCTGGTTTAATCTAGGGTCGTCACGATGCCACAATTCCAAAAAAAAACAAAAAAACCCAGTAATGATCAAATAAAATCAAAACCTATTTTGATAACATGGCAGCACAAATAGCAGTCATATCCTATCCAATCCAATTTTATTTGTTAAGCACTTTAAAACAACCAATTTCTTGTTTTTAATTAACAAAAAATGCAGGAAGAATCCTAAAACGATTCAGTACAATGCACTGCAGTTTAGACCTCGTTTCCCCCTAAGTCTCTTACCCTGCTCCGTCTATTTGCAAGGGTCATAAACTTTTGCAGCTTTATGAGACATCAAAAAGTGATGACCTTCAGAAAATTCCAAGCCGAGGTCTGTCAGTGCAACAGGTTGGATGGTGCACATCCTGCCCCGCTGCGGGAGACCTACGAGATAACGCGGGAAGTAAGAGAAAAACGTTGTTGTTTTGTCTTTCTTGGGTTACTTTGTTATTCGTTTGGTTCCGGAGCACAATGTAGTAGTGCTACTAGCACCCGCCGGAGATGGAGCGCCACGCTCGCTGTGGAAACAGGAGCATTGACTAGAGTGGCAGTGAACGGGGACGTAGTATGCGTCACGTGACAGTATTTGCCGACCTGTGAATATGAATGGTCCACAGCTGCTCTCTCTTTCTTGGGTTAAAAGAAATATGACTGAAAACCTTTTTTTTTTTTCTTTTTTTTTTTATTAAAACGTTGGTACTTTTCAATCCGATTGATCATTAAATAAAGGAGATTGTATCGTTTTAACACATGTGGTATCAAAATATTGAACATTTTCACAACCTTCATTTTTCCCTGTTTGTCTTAAACGTATAACTTTGGTTGTCTTACAGCGTCTTTGTTTTCAAAACGTCTTACCAAGCAGCCTAACGATATTTATGATATTGAAATAGAGATGTCATTGTACTTGTTGTGAGCACGCGGTGAGAGTAAAGGCTGACCAACCTGAAAATCTTGTTTTGTCCTATTTTTCCAAGTAGCTGAAGAAAGTCACAGTCATGGAAGTGAAAGCTGCAAGAGAAAGATGCTTTGTCAAAAAAGTTGGCCAACATGTTGATGTGGTAAACCGAGTCGTGTGTGACATTCTGGAGAATCGCAGCTGATTGTCTCGCAGGAAAGATGATACAACTGTTCATCATACTTTTATGCACTCATCCCAGGTGAAATGGTGAATAACTGGTCAGACTGGTCTTTTTGCTGACAAGCCTCTCCTCTCTTCTTTTTTTTTTGTCCTGCAGCAAATAACGTTCCCGTTGCTGATGAGTGTTGGAACCGCCGTGATCGGATCGCTGCAGTTCGGCTACAACACCGGCGTCATCAACGCCCCTCAGAAGGTGAGTTAAATGTCCAGAATCATCTCCAGGGTGGTTTTTAAACTTTTTCCTCCCAAGAAGATACACTTTAACTGGGTTTGGAGCACAATATGAATCATTTAAACAATAAACTGTTTGTGTGACTCACCTTTAAAACATAGTTACAAATGCTTTCAGACACCAGAACCACTCTAGACTTGAACAAAAAGGGAATTTTGAGATATTATAAAATGAAAATAATGGTGGGAGTGGACTAATATTGAGGGTTTTTTTTTTTTTTAAACTAAAAAAAGCCTTAAAAAAACAAGTTTTGAAAGAGATCTAAATGAAGACAAATATACAAGAGTTTATTCTGTCTGCTAACTTAGCCAGAGGGCTGGTTGTTGCATAGGAGAACAGGACAGAAAGAACGGGGGGGGGGTTTAAGGGTTGAGATAATAATAGCTGCATTCAGGCCTATCATGTCCAAGGACATCTGTATTAACAGACTCTGGGTGATCCCTGAGTAAAAGAGTGTGTCTTTGCCCAAAAATGGATCTCTCTTCTGAGCAGCAACAGACTGGGAGAAAGCAGACAGGAAATTAAACGACGAGGTAGACAAGTCACCTATCCCAGTGACATTTACAACTAATAGAAAAGATGCTTTCACTACCTCCAGCGGACTAAATCCACGTTAGGGTCTTATGAACAGACAGGTACACCAAAGACTCTAATTTCCTGAAGGTTTGTCTCTGCGTTTATATCGCGTGTCAATAACCTGTATCCGCTCAGTGTGGGTTGGTCTGACTCTGAACACACCCTGTGGCTATACAGCTGTCTGTGAACAGGTCACAGGTGTGTCGCCACACAGTCCACGGCCTCCGTCTGCTCCTTTTATTCACCTGCAGAGACCTGTGAGAGCAGGAGACGGAGTGTCAGGGTGATCTGCAGTCACAGCTGCTAGCGCTGCTCCCTCCCTCGCTCTGTGAGAACTGATTTCATCTGAAGAGCTCGTCCACTATCATCACACTGCCAAAAGCTTTCCTGCACTTTGATGTGAAGGACACTCTGTGAGCAGCTTTCATCAGGCGTCTGAGTGAGAGAAGGAGAGTTTTATTCTCCACTCTTCTGTTTAATTAGAGCAACAGAAGTTTAGATAGGAAAAAAAGGCTCTGGGTAGAGGTTAAATCCATTACTCATACGGAAAGATGAAGTGGACAGACATGTAAAAGAGGGGATTTCAGGCCTTGAGGCGTTGTCACTTCTCCCTCACTGACCAATCACAATCAAGAAGGGGCGGGACTTCTGATATTGTAAACAACAATGGTGGAGGAGAAACTCATCTGACTTGTCCTTTTTAAGGTCTAAATCTGCTGCTAATACCAGGAAACAAATCCTCTACATTGTTATGTTTTCTTAGTGATATTTTAGTGATATTTGGAAGCAGAAGTCAGCTCTTGTAACCTAGCAACAAGATAGAATACAACATTGTGTATTTCAGCGTGTGTGTAGCATGTTGCAATAACAGAGTGTAAAAGTTATTTCCCCTGATGGGCTCAATGAAGGGTATCTTCTTTCTTCTCTTCTTCTTCTGTACACCGGTGAGAAATGCTCTGAAACTGAAGCTGTGTGTATATATAAAATATATATATACAGTTTTTAAAATCATACTAGTAGCAGAGAGGTAGGAAGTATCAGCCTGCTGCTGTGTAGAAGTAGTCATAGTTTATTTAATTCAGCATTGATAATTGCAAAAAGTGTATGTTTATGAGTCTGTATCAGAAAGGAAGTAATTGTTTCAGAACATCTTTATCAGTTATTTTAGTTATTGAGTCATCCAGCAATTATTTACAATTGTTAGATAACTCTGTGACTGTTTCCAGATTGCAGTATGACCTTTTCAAATGTCTTGTTTAGTCTCACAAACAGTTAGAAACTCTTAATAGATTCCGTTTAGTCTGAAAAGCTGGAGTAAAAAGAGCTGCAAATCCTCCCATCTAAGACGCTGGGACAAGGGTTTGTTGTCATTTTTAAATCATTAACCCATCATCAAAATAGTCAATAGTCAAGTAATACAAACTTCCTGGTCCTTTTTGTTTTTTGTATAACCTTCAAACCTGTCTTTTAGCTCTGCAACACTTCAGCTGTTAGCGTAGCAACGGTTTGCCTCTTCCATGAAAACAGAGCACGTGTTGGTCTTCATGGAGCTCTGCCACAGCATGCCTTATGAGTGGCTCAGTGAGGGGCTGCAGACTGGGGGGGGGGTGAAAAAGTGGTATACTGGGCCAGTGTCAACCTGCCCTCTTGGCTTGTTATCCCCTTCCAAACATCCAGCACAGGTCCCACACACACACACACACACACACACACACACACACACACACACACACACACACACACACACACACACACACACACACACACACACACACACACACTCACTCAGAGGTTTGAGGAACGTCACGTGCAAACAGCTCGGCAGTGAGCATGCAGAACAGTTAATCAACACAGGCTCTTAACTCTAAATCCTTGATTAGTTAATGACCTTTTAGGAGGCTATGATTTCACCAATGCAACTTTTATATAGCAAATTATCAGCAGCACTTCTCCCCTCTGCATGTGATAAAGGCTGCAGTGATGCTTGATGCTGCCTGTGACGTCGGCCTTACATTGTATTAGAGCGTCTGTGATTAGATACGCCCTTTCAAGGGCCTGGCTGCACACACACTTTTCCCCGTCCTCGTCTTCCTGCATGTCTGCCTGCTCCACAACAGAAATCAACATCCTTATTTGGCAGCTAGGGGTCATCTGGGTTTTGTTTATGTTAGTTTTCAATTTGGGAACATCTTTGGTGCAAAAATACTAGTCTACTCCTCCCGATGATGTATAACAGTGCATATCACGTCCTGTTTTCTTGATAAGTTATCTGGACCCTCTTAAAATCAAAGACCTGTCAGAAGAAGTAAAACACTCCAGAAACAAGAAAACATGTCACCCTCCTTGTTCCAACTATTCCTGCTGAAGCCGTACGCATTGAAATAACACAGCGTATCACTCTCTGTTTCCTAGATAATTTATCTCGACCCGTTCAAGGACCTTCTAAAAAAAGAGACAGCTCAGCTGCAGATGCAGGACACTAAACCTCTTGTTCAAATACAATAAGGTGTTAACGATGATGAAAGGAGTCATCTGATTTGTCCCACTTTTACATGCTGGCTATAGAGTTCACCTTGACGACCCGGCTTCCAGCCAGCGCCGACAACAAATGCTGACAGACCTCCAGCATGAATAGACAGCCTGTTTCATTGTGTGGTTAGAGGCAGCTGGTCGTTTTGGTCTGCACAGCCTATTGACGTGATGAGTCATTATGTAACGTCTCAAGATCGGCCATCTTTCTCAAAGTAATCAAGAGGATACAGAAAATAGTGAAAAGTACAATTAAATCCAGTTAAAGTTTAAAGGGGACTTATAATGAAAAATCCATTTTGACAGTGTTTTTGAACATTTATTTGGGTAACATGAGTCTCTGCCAACCCACATAATGTGAAATACACCCATCCAGTCCTTTGTTTGTGGTCTGCACAAGTCTTACACCACAGAGAAAAATGCTCCATTTCAAATGTGCTCTCCTTGTGATGTCACAGTGGGATTCTGGTTAAAAAAATCCCCTCCCCTCCCCTGCTATCTCCACCCATGGACTCCACCCCCAGCCTAGAACAAAACTTTTGCACAAGTCCGCCATTTATTCTCACTACAGAGGAGTGCTGTCTACCGGGGAAACTCAGGGGGGGGGCTCATTGCACTTAAAGAGACACACACACCAAAACGGAGCGTTCTGAGAGAGCTGGTTTATACAGGGTCACAAACCTCCTCTGGTGCTTGATTCATGTTATAGTTTGACCAAAGCACAGCACAGATGTCTCATTTAGACCACAGGGGACTGTTTGAAAAGGTGGAAAAGGGGGATCATATGTCCTCTTTAAGTTGTAGAAATGAAGCACAAATACCTTTAAACCTCGCCTTTAAGCAGAGCAGTTAGGTAAATATAACTTTAATGTTTATGTCCCCTCATTGCGTGTATATGATATAGAGCTCAGTGATGGCTCCTCTAAATATACTTTTAAAAGGTTAGGTGTGATTTGGCTGAAGGTACAGTACAGTATGTGATAACACACTTGTGATCCTCCTGCGAGGTCTTGTGAGTGAAAGCCGATAGTGGAAATGACCCGAGCTTCATACTGTATATCATTCTATGTACCCCTCCAACAGAGGAACGCCCTCACATAACGACACCCCGGTGCACGAGGACACTGCTGAGTACTTTTTTCCACATCGGCTTCATTTAGCTTCAAGTTTCAAAACAAATAAAAGTGATGTTATTCGATCTCAGAGGCACATGGTGGAGCTGACGATGTTCTCGGTCCCTCTGGTGAGGTCAAGGAGGTTAGGGATTTGCAGACAGGGCGCTGACCTTTCTGAATCATATGAGACGTGTCAGTGATGCACACATAAACACACACAGGCTCCTCCACTTAACCCCGTCACTGGTGTGCTGGGCGTGTTTGTCAACAAAGTGAAGAGGGGGGGGGGGGAGGAGGAGGGAGGAACTGAAACCCGACACTGTACTGGTAAACTTCCTGCTTGCGAGATACTGGTTGTGATTATACAGTGCTGCCGCCATCTGCTGGTCACAAAAAAAAACAGCCCAACAATTTATATGTACCTGCCTTGCCCAATTCAGTATATCTATTTGAAACACCTTGCAGCCTTTATTACTGACACATTTCTGTTAAGGTGTTTTATTTTTTACCTCCCTTTGATCACTCACTCCAGCTTTATATTACTTCTCACTTATTTAGTTTATTGTTGTTGTACTTGTGGATAGCACACAGTTTGGAAATAAGAGTTTATTCAGACCGTCCACATGAAAACAAAAAAATCATTATTTCGGCCTATGTTTATGTTGCATGTTCATTAAACAGTGTAAAAACTGAATTCCCCCTCGCAAGATTAATAAAGTATAAATTATTATTATTATTATCAACAGAGCTTGACTCAGAAAAGACTGTATGTCAAGAATTGTGATTTTTTTTTCGTTTGTGTTTTCTAGGTCATTGAGAAATTCATCAATGAAACATGGTTCGAGCGCTACCAGGAGCAGATCTCCAAGAACTCCCTCACAGCCATCTGGTCCATCGCTGTCGCCATCTTCTCTGTCGGTGGCATCTTTGGCTCGTTCTCTGTTGGACTCTTTGTCAACCGCTTTGGAAGGTAAAGAAACACAAAAACTCCATGCAGTTATTGATGGATCAGGAAGAAGTCAGTTTTCTGTTAAACAAGTTGAACGTGCTTTGTACATTTTTTTCATGAAAGCACAAAATTGAAGATTTGTTGTCACATGCAGACATGGAACTGTAATGACTGTTCAGCAAGGCCATGCAATAAAACAGTCAAGCAAAACAGTAAAAAAAAAAGACATTATAAATAATAGTTAAATATACAAAAATGTAAAATATAATCAAAATTTTAACAATCTAACACAAGTGTTTGATCGGCTGTTTTATTGGCTGCAGCCCAAATCAGATGTTGATATTGATGTCGAAAAAGTCAGGTTGGTGCGCGAATTAAAAAATGACTTAAATAAGAAAAAAAAATCTCCACATATATGACTCTGGCATGGAAATCTGTAAATGTAACGTTATTCTGAGATATCTTTCTGAATATGATATTTGAATTCTAACTGTATCTTGATCCCTGTTTGCTACAGGAGGAACTCTATGCTCATGGCCAATGTCCTGGCATTCATTGCATCTGCGCTTATGGGCTTTTCAAAGATGGCGGCCTCCTGGGAAATGCTGATTGCCGGCCGGTTTGTGGTGGGCCTTTACTCCGGCCTCTCCACGGGATTCGTACCCATGTATGTCGGCGAGGTGTCCCCGACGTCTCTAAGAGGAGCTCTGGGCACTCTGCACCAGCTGGGCATTGTGGTCGGCATCCTGATCGCACAGGTCAGTTTACAGGAATTGTTCCAGTAAATGCATGCTGCGAATTATGAAGTCATAGAAGTGCCATCAAAAGTTAGAGAATGAGCAAACACTAGTTTAAGCATAAATAAGAACAGCATGTTTAGATACATGAGGCAGCACAAAGCAGGTGTTTCTTATACAACATGTGCGTCTTGTCTTGGTTATCAGGTGTTTGGAATGGAGGCCATCATGGGCAACGATGACTTGTGGTCGCTCCTCCTGGGCTTCATCTTCGTCCCTGCAGTGATTCAGTGCATCCTGCTGCCCATGTGCCCCGAGAGCCCCCGCTTCCTGCTCATCAACAAGAACGAAGAGAACAGGGCCAAGAACGGTGAGTCCAGACTCGCACACTCAAGAGCAACAACAAAGCATTTACAGTCAGAGGCTCCGGTGGGTTTCCAGTATGTTCAACTCACTCCACTCAAAATGAGACAAAACTAAAAAAAAAACTAAAAAAAAAACTGTGCATCTTGTAGAGTTAACAATCTGCTTTAACCTCTGCACATGTTAGTGATGAAGAAGCTCAGAGGCACCACAGATGTGAGCGCTGACATGCAGGAGATGAAGGAGGAGAGTCGACAGATGATGAGGGAGAAGAAGGTGACCATCCTGGAGCTTTTCCGCTCGCCTATGTACCGTCAGCCTCTCATGGTCGCCGTCATCCTGCAGCTCTCCCAGCAGCTGTCTGGCATCAATGCTGTGAGTGTCCTACCCAACGTATTGCTCCGTTCTGTCGCTAAAAAAACAACAGAACGGACAGAGAACCTTACCTTTCTGAAACGTGTGTTACATACTCAGACTTTAGAGCTGCGTTATAATTAAAAAGAAGATGTTCTGAATGTATCTGAAATGTGAATCTGCTCATGATTGATGGTTTTGGTTGTCGCACTTCACAGGTATTCTACTACTCCACACGAATCTTCGAGAAAGCCGGAGTGGAGCAGCCTGTCTATGCAACCATTGGAGCTGGAGTAGTAAACACTGCGTTCACTGTGGTGTCGGTAAGTACGTTAGCATGTCTTTAATCTGAAGCAGAATCCTGTAAATGCATGACAATAAACATGAAAATGTTGGTGGAATATTTAAATAAGTGTGGATAGAATAAAAAGAAAAGAAAAGGGTGATAATCAATCTGTTTTTTTTCTGCGAAAACAACGTAGACAGGAGTAGAATAAAAAGTAAGATGCGATTCAAAAGCAAGAACACAGTAAAAATCTAATATTTCCGGCCAAAGTTATTTTAAATAAAAGTTATTCAAGGATAGAATTCATTGACAGTTACAGCGCAGATAAAAAGTTACCAAATATTATCAAGTTATAGAATTTAAATGTTATTGGCGGATTTGAAATCTTCTGGTGTTGTTTTTGGATATACGACATGTGGGCTCTCGTTACAAAGCAACAAACTGTATTCTTCTTGCTCTGTACATGTCAATCATCACTTTTAGGTTCAATTATATAACTCACTTAGTTTCTAATCTTTTGTTGCCCCAGTTTTGAGATGCACAAAAAAACAGATGCTGTAGGCACGATTAAACACTCCATGTCCAAATAGCAGAGGCAAAAATATATATTTAGGATTTGTTTTAGGAGGGTGTTGATGCAGTAGGCTATTTCTCACAGAGAGAGGTAGGGCTTTCATGTCCTGATATTTGCCGGAGGAGCTGTATGTGTGAATGCAAACAGCTGAATTTTTCACTTGGACTTCACCCAATGTTTCTCCTGCCAGACCCCTAGTGTTTTTTTTTATAATCGTATTGATCTTTGCAAAGGTTACTAATAGTTAAATACATGTTATATAATATTTAATATCTTAAGTACTGCATTGACTTTCTCCTAATCTTTGTGTTTTTCTGTGCAGCTGTTTGTGGTAGAACGAGCTGGCCGTAGATCTCTGCACCTGCTGGGGCTGCTGGGAATGGCCGGATCTGCTATCTTGATGACCATCGCCTTGGCTCTGCTGGTGAGTCAAAGTAGATAAGTAATAATAATGACTTACTGAAGGTTTATAATTACCATAACTAACGTGCTTCTTGTCCTCTTCTTTGTTGCAGGAGAAGCTCAAATGGATGTCATATTTAAGCATTGTGGCCATTTTCTCTTTCGTGGCGTTCTTCGAAATCGGTCCGGGTCCCATCCCCTGGTTCATCGTGGCTGAGCTGTTCTCACAGGGACCCAGACCTTCAGCCATGGCCGTCGCTGGTTTCTCTAACTGGACTGCTAACTTCATCGTGGGAATGGCCTTCCAGTACATAGAGGTGAGAAAAGAACGACACAAAAACCTGCGGATCTAGAACCTTTAGCCCCGTTTCCACCAAGCAGTCTGGTTTGGTTCAGTACAGTTCAGTACAGTAAACCCTGAACTTGCTTGCGTTTCCACAACCAACCGTACTCTTATTTTGGTAAGCAGAGTGTAAGCCAGATGGAGATGGCCGCATCAGCTCTGTAATAGTGTGACATCATAGCAGCCCAATACAGTGTAGCTATTGATTAAGTTAAACGTTCAAGAAGAAAAGGGACACAGTAAACAAAAGGGACCCTTTAGGGATGGATCGGTACCCTTGGTACCCCATAGGAGGGTACCAAAAAAGTAGGACGGTATGGATCCCTTATTTTGGTACATTTAAGAACGTTTTACACAAACACTCTAACATTTGCATTCTTAGAGATCCATCTATGAGTCAAATCAGGGAGTAGTTCAAGCAGCCAAGCTAAAACATCGACATCCTGTAGAAACTGCGTGCAAGTCTTTCTCGTTTACTCGTTCACTTATTGTTTACTTCACTGAAAATTTGCTTTGGGCAAAAGAAAAAGAACCATACAGCTCACTGCAACTCTGTGTACCATGAAAAAGAAACACAAGACACAAGACTGACATGAACAAATACAAATCAAGTTCAGCATCAGATGTCTAATTTTACCTTTCTCTAGCAAATGTTTTCAAATCTCACCCTTTGAAAACACAAGAACAAACCTCATACAAATATAGAAAAGAATGAAGGTTTAACAGTGTGGTGCAACAAAAGTAACTATACAGTATTTGAAATCATGTGATCATTATGTACAACATAAGTTGGCTGATACAATATAAGATGCAAAGTGTCTTAGCAGAGATCACTTTTATTCTTCGTCTCCATCAGTCACATTTGAAACGCTTTATTTCACATTCTCACTGCCTGATATTGGAGGACTGAACTCTTTTAGGACTCCACTCTATGATTGTCTCTCTCTCTCTCTCTTCACAGGAGCTGTGCGGCCCCTACGTCTTTGTCATCTTCACTGTCCTGCTGCTGGTGTTCTTCGTCTTCACCTACTTCAAAGTGCCGGAGACCAAGGGCCGGACGTTTGACGAGATCTCCGCCGGCTTCCGTCAGTCGGCCGCCGGAGGAGAGAAGCACTCGCCGGAGGAGCTGAACAGCCTGGGAGCTGACTCGCAGCTCTGAGTGACTTCATTTCACTTCTTAAACTTCTAACAAACTTTTTTTTTTCTTCTCAAACAGAGAAAGGAACGAGAAGGGGTCTGCTAACTAACAAGTAGACAGATTTCATGGGTAGATTAATTCTCACACTTTGTCACCACATTTCGGGCGTCTTTACCAAAACACAGAGCACCCCCCCCCCCCCCCCCCCCGTGTGATTCTCCAACATGACGTCTTCCGCTGCCCCTCGCACACACACACAAACACACACTCCATGGGCACTATGTCGCCTGCAGGATGTGGACGAGGGGACAGGAAGATAGATGGGGAAGGTTTCTAAAAAAAATGTTTGAAAGAAGGAAAAGGAGTGTCGGCATCAATCAAACAACCTTTTTAAAACTTTTTCACTGAATATTTTACTGTTATGTGCTTATGCTCTGTTCTCTGTAGCCTGTTACAGCACAGTCAGTTTGTATCATCTGGTTTTATAGCTTTTAGAGATCTGTTCACTGTGCTCAATACACGTTTTTATCAATTATATTGTAAAGCTGTAACACTGTAGACTCTAGCACTGTACATGCTGCACAGTTTGTCACCACCAGAGGGCACACTGCCCTTTAAAAAGCCCCAATACTACCTTATTTATAGCTTTTTAAGTCACTGAGGACACAAACTGTGATATGTCAGTCTAATGCTGTAAGGATTTTAAATTGTACTATTGGTATTTTCAACACAGAATAGTAAAACAGCATATATATATTTTTTAAAATTGTTACATATTTCCTCTTGCTGGACAGTTTGTTACTCTTTCTATTGTTAAATATGATACTTTTGATGTCATTACTGAAAGAAAACAACGTATGAGGTGCGTCCAGATAACATGTAAAGTCATGAATTCTACATGTATGTATTTAAACACCATTCCTTTTGAGCATTCAATGAAAATGATATTTTGTGTGCTAAAGGAAAAAATATCTGTGGAGATGAATCATCTATTTCTAAGAGCTCAATTACAATCAGCTGCCCGAAAAGAAAAAATCCTCTCACAATACCAGAATGTTTGTGATTTGAAGTGCCTGTTAAAAAACATCAGGTCGTCTTGCCCTCAGTCTTATAATTAGGAGTTTGAGGTCAGATCAGCCCGATCCAGATGTGGAAAGTGGAAAAATGTTCACTTTGAGTTCTTTAAAGTTGAACTCACCTGCCGAGTGTACAAAGTCTGTCTCAGAGCTGTCTGGATCTGTTCACACAATTTGAAACTACGGCGCTGAAAGATGTTCCTCTGCGGCAGCTTCACAGCATTTTCAGAAAAATAAAATAAAAACAATTTCAATGACAGGGACCAAACTGCCTTTTTGGAAGTTTTTCTTCATCCTTTGAAGTGCTCTTTATCCAGGTCAAACTCCCCGTGTTCCTTGAGCGCCATAATGTGTCCAAAGAGGGGGGGGCGGATGCTGCGTTGGTGAGAGGTCATCGCGTCCCTTGTGCAACTGAATTCTTGCAGTATTGTCGGCCCCCTCCCTCCCTGCCTCTGTCCCTCCATTTTTCCGCTGTGTACTGTGCTGTATTCAGTAGCTGGTGATTTAAAAAAAAAACTTTTATAGTGTGGCTCACTTTGCCTTGCTGTACACGTCGCTGTCTGTGACTGCTGTATCACTTGTTGAACCTTCCTTCTCTTTAAATACGTTGTTTAAGGAAAGTTATCCTTTTTGTTTCTTCCTAGCAGCACTTTATTATTCATAGTTCTTTGTTTCTGTCGTGTTTTTATTTTATTTTATTTTTTACTCACAGTGTGGAATCATTGTTACTGAGGAGAGACTGAAGTACTGCTGATGGATTACTTGATGTTTTTGAAATGGAAATGTGTTGAATTGTGTCGTTTGTTCATATCTATCGCAGCCTCGTATGGAGCACATTTCGGGTCACCGTTTTTTTTTGAGTAAAATATGGAAAACATTCAGGGTCTAACAAAGGACCTCATGAAATCAAACACAGCAGTGAAAATCCCCTTTTTTATCATTCCATATCTGGATGTTAATTATTGTATATAGTAGATCTTTATAGTGTGTCTTTTCTTATTTGAGGGGTCCTGTCACCCATTCTGGAAAGCACTGTAACATCCACTCTCTGTGCCTTTTTACAGCCTTCACATTCTCTTCACCAGCAAAATCATACCATGGCACCAAAAAGGAAAAAAAACAAGCCTTACACACACACACACACACACACACACACACTGATGTCTTTTTGCAAATATCCAAACTGTATTTTTGATGTACATACATAAATCCACAGGTCTGCCGGGGCATTGAACGTTTAATGTTGTCTGTCGCATTTTAAATCTCCTACAGGCACACTTTGGTGGTTTAAAGTCACATCATCATGTAACTATGACACACTTTGGCTTCACTCACTCCAAATGTATGCAATTAACTTGTTTTTTTTTTCTTCGGTAAGTTAATGATTAGGGCGCATTGATCTTCCACACTTCTGTTTCCTTCTGATTGCGTATCTAAAGCTACGCTGTGGCCTAATATTACTATCGTCATCATTTTAATTCTGAAATGTAAGGACTGTGTTAATGAAAATAAAACATTCAGTAGTGTTTGTTGTTGTTAGTGCACAGAGTGTATTTGAATATTTGTCATAATAAAATATCTGTGTATGCGGTGTTGGAACGTGAGCCTCTGTTGGGGAGATATGAAACGTGATGGAAGATTACCACAGACTTGTGTAAGGTGGTGAAATGGCTGGATAAAATAAATCATACATACAGAAAAAAAAACATGTTTGGGGGTCCATTTGTTACTTTTTCTGCAGTAATAATAGATTTATGTGGTGATACGTGCAGGAAGCTACAAACACATTGCTGATGATGTGGTTTCAAAGGCTGAATCCCAAATAGACTCCACACTCAGACTCAGACTGAAGATACTTCAACTTTATTGTCCCAAGGGGAAGTTTGGTTTGCAGCAAGATGAAAACAATAAAACATATAGAAACACAGGTGCATAGACTCAGAGAAAAGGAACAACATACACTGTGAGCAATATGAAATACATTAAGAGTTCATCAGGTAACAACAGGAAACTGAGAATGTATAAAACTATTATTTAAACAAAATAAAACTAAATCAGGGTCATCATTGGAGTTCAGTCGTTTGATGGCCTGAGTTAAAAAATATTTTTTTAACCTGTTGGACTTTTGGTGATCTGTATCTCCGGGCAGAAGCTCAAACTAACCAAACAGAGGTCATGGAGGACACTGTAACATGTCTCGAGCTTTAGCTGCAGCTCTCACTAAAGGTGATGATCAGGTCATTTAACTCCAATGATCTTACTGGCAACTTAAATAATGTGGTGCAACCTCTTTTGTTTCCTTTTGAGAGATTGCCAAAGCAGGTGATGAAGTCGAGTATGAGGACAGACTCCACCATGGAGTTATAAAAACGTGTCATCAGTTTACTCTACACACCAAACCAGTTAAGCTCACAGAGAAAGAAAAGACGTTGCTAACTGCTTCTGTGTTCTCACTGACCGTCAGCAACGGGGTGAGCACTTAGTGCTGACAGTGGTGATTCTAGAGTCTCTTGGTGCCCTAAGCAAGAAGCGCTTGGGGGGGGGGGCCTCCAACCAACATTCATGTCTGCCAGTGTAGTCCCAACACTAACTCCTCATTCTCTTTTTTCCTGTTTCTTTTTTCTCTCTATAGACGGATCATTTCTCTTCATTTTTCTTTGTTGACGTTCATTGACAAACAAATAATGAATGTGAAGCTTAGCAGGGCAAGGAGAGTGAGTCATGTTAGATGGGGTCCATCTATTGTCAATGAAACATTTTCCATTTTCAAACACTGATTTGGTTTAAGTTTGTCAGCTCTCAGGGGCCCCCTACTGGTCTGGGGATTTTTACAAGGAGATTTTTGCATGAAGATATCAAGTTATAGCATTTGATAAAAAGCTAAATTGCCATCAAATAAAAACTGTTGGGATCTAGGATTGTATGACAGCCAATGCATTCTGCTTTCCATACAGACTTAGTCCCTGAAACACTAATAAACATCTATACACAGACTCCAAACAGAACTCAAGAAGGCTTCAAATACATAAAATTGTGTCCTCAGCCTACAGATTGAGCATTCTCTGAGAGAAGAGACATGAGTCAGCCCAGCCTCTCTTTTTTTTTTAAAATCATATCCCAGATGTCACAGACCTGTTCCTCCACTTCAATCAGATTTCCTATTCCCCAGACCGCTTCAGTGTAATTCCCCCTCCATCTCCAAGAGGTCCTCAGACTCCTTCTACGTTCTCCTTGTAAACCTAGCAATCTGCTCACCTGCACCCACTTTCTTCTGGGAACAGATGAGTAGATTGCAACACCACAGTTACATGACCTCACCTGCCCACCTGATCACCTGCTCCCCTAATTTCCCTCATCAGTCTCACTTCATGTATACCCGCCCTTTTCCTTCTTTCTCGTTCTAGTTGATGTTATTCCAATTCATAACCTGTTGTGTGCCATGTGTATTCCTTCACCTCCAGTAAGTTGTGTTTCTAATTAAATCTAAAGTCCTGCTGTTTATGGTCTGCATTTGGGTCCTACCTCATGCGCACACATCCTGACTAAAGATTCACTATACATCAGTTAACATGAATAGAAGCACGCAGCAAAAACTCATTCTTGCTTTGACAAACACTTGCAATCGAAAAAAAGGTAAAGTTATTAAGGGTTGGCTGGTGGAAATGGTGCTAACAATAGCTTTATGAAGAAAAAGAAACCTGCACTTTTTATTTATTTCACTCTCTGACTGAGCAGGTGTGTTTCTCTGGCTTCAAAGAAATCTTTGATCGTGACTTCTGTAGACACCCTAGTCTGATCCCAGGACAGCCAAATCCACAATTTCTCTTTTATTATTATTTGTGTGTCTCGTATTTTTCACCATAGGTATGACACTGATTGACGAGCTTATTGTGCCAGGTGTAGGCCTTTGGAAGGTGACATGTAAGGGCTTATTTAACCACACAGAGCTGCAGGTGTTTGACCTGTCACGGAAAATTAGATCATGCTGACCTCCATGAACGACCTCGAGATGAATGAGATGTCACTGATAGAGACACGCTCCACGTCACTCCTGTCCTGCAGCCGCCATTCAAGGGGCGGGGGACTCATCTCTGTACGGGCTTTTACGGAGATATTTCAATCAGGAGAGACAAGTGAATTCAGAAAATTATTTATTACAACGATTAACATGGAAATGTGACTTGACAAGAAAGACTTTGGTGCTTGGACTCTATGGGGTGGTTGATGTGTTTGGAGAATGACAATTCTGAGCATCGACAGAATAAATCCCCCCCCCATGGAGTCCAGACTTAGACTTTCTTTATCTTTTTCTGTCATTCCAACTTGTACTTTACAGTGCAGATAAGAACGAAATTTCGTTGCATTTGACTCGTTAGTGCAGGATAAAAACAGCAGCAAGTATTCACAGAAAAATAAGGTGCAGATATAAATAAATATAAAAGAAAAGCTATGTATAAAATTACTATACAGATAAATATATTGCACGTTTGTGATGTATGTTATATTGTATTTTACAGTCCAGTGAGGTAGTCCTGTGTGGGGGTTTGAGGGAGAATGGAGGGATTCTTTTTTTGTGTTCAAGAGTCTTATGGCCTGTGGGAAGAAGCTGTTACAGACACTGGTGGTGGTGAAGCTGAGGACTTGATGAGACCGGGTGGGGGAAGAATTGATGGATGATGATGATTCTGCGAAGATGGGCCATGATGGGGAGGTGGAGGGGTGCACAAAACATCGGCATGAAGGAACTAAGGCAGAGAAAGAATCATATTTAAAAGGGCAGCAGAACGATGACAGGCTGAAAATAAGGGGAGGAACGCCATGCCATTGGTGTACCGCAGACGAGACAACTGATTATCCAATGACAGCCCCAGAAAATGACAGCTCAAGAATGACAGCGGAAATGTGAGTGAGCGTGCAAAAGGGATGAATGAGAGAAAGACCCGATCATGAAGGCAATTAGAGGTGTTGTGTTTTGCTTGTTTTAGTCTTGATGGCATCAGAAATGAGGGAAACCACAGAGTCCTTTTTGAGAATAAATAAAGGTTTGAATTGAATATAGTCTTCCTGCCTGAATTTACAGTACAGCTTCACATGTTAAATCCCAGCACAAACAGATATAATAAATCATAATCCCTCATTTTACCCTGATGTGAATCTCTCTTCAATCTGGAGCAGCAGCCAAACAAGTACCGACATCAGAGTGCACTAATTATTCCACATTTCTGACCTTTTCACTGTTTGCAAAAAGCACTTTCACAACAGAGTGAAACAAGCTAAACACAATCTGAAGTCATGTTCTGTCCCTGTGAATATTAAACACCTCTCAAGGTCGCCGAGAGCAATATAACAACTAATGAGATACAGGAGAGGCCCAGGCAATTGCCAGCATTTGAATATGTTTGATCCTGCCCTGGCACATGAGTGATTGTGCCTGGACAGAAAAGCAAGACCGCTAAAACCTCCAGGTTGGAACAAAGACAAGACGGCGTCTACAGCAGGACTCTGAGTGCAGGTTCCATAACCCCCCCCCGCCACCGCCCCCTGCTGTTGTAATAAATATAAATCCTACCCCCCACCTTGATGTATGGGATTGGTCAGTTCAAAGGCATGTTTGCTGTTAAATATAATTCTGCATTGCCTTTGCTTCATGTCCTGACGTTATTGATTTCAGCGTGGGGATGATAATCCTCAGAGGGGGGAGGCGGATGTCGTACACAAGGTCAGCCAACCCCTATTAAAAAGCAGATTTCCACAATTTCCATGCATTACCCTGTTATTCATGCATGTGTAATGGGGCCTCGGTGTTTGATTGCCTTCTGTGCTCTCTAATCCCTCTCTGTTATAAAACATATCCTCTCTATATGAGCTCATTGTTGGAGAGGATGTAAGGGATTATAAACAGGCTCTTATCTGTTCGCAAATTAATTTACAGGGGACGTTGTCTTTGTTTGTCCATTTTTTTTAGAAAAAGAAGATAAATTATTGTATGATGTGTGTTGTGTTATTGTGTTGGAATCATACACACTGAAATAAGCAAATCAGACCTTATAAATCAAAAATCTAAATATATAAAGTTCAATAAAGTTTATCTTTATCTTTGTCTTTATATAAATATGAATAAAGATTACCATTGATTCAATCAGATTCAATACAATTCCATCGAAGACCATCCAATTATTTACCTAATTATATTCCATTCACTTCAGTTCAATCTTAGATTGAAATGAATTCAAATTTAATTGAATATGATTCAATTACATTCAATTACATCTGACTCAATTCTATTCAGTTCAATTTTAATTCCAATATATTTTTTTAATTCAAGCAAATCTAATCCCATTTACTTCATTTACATCAGTTCAGTTGCGTCCCAACTAATTTGAATTACTTCAATTCTGCTTAATTCAATTAAAAACCCTTTCATAGAGTTAAATTCCACTGATTTTTTATTTCATTTATTTAATTTGAGTTCCATTTTATATAATTCTATAGCGATCAATTTAATCTACTAGATTCGATTTCCATCAATTCAGTTCAGTTTAATGGTTTGTGAATGGTGTATGCATTCTGCTGAAATTGTATATTGCTTTTAT